ATTGAGTTTTTTGTACATATAATATTCTTTGAACCTCTACTGCTTCAAAGTAGGGCCACATATTTTCAAAATATTCCACCGTACTGTATTCTCAAATAGAAGTAATTCTTTATTTTTATTGAAAAATATATGTTGTTGATGGCGATTTGCTGCCGCAAAACAAAATTAAGCTTTCTTTATTTTTCAAAGCCTAACTTCTTTTTCAGTATTGCTAATACTTTATTGTTAGCTTGGCATAATCAAGGTTTGGTAAACGTACATATTAAGTAACAGATATTAATATTATATAAAAACTTGGCTAATTTCACACAGTCTTCATTCATGCATTATAATTTCAACAAGTTTTGTACAGCATCAGGTAATGTTTGGGATAACTTGGATTTCGTTGGTCTGGTCATTGACAAAAGTATATCGCCTGTAATAAACCAAGAGATATGTTATTTCTTATTTTTCCTGTTTTTAAAAGAATTTTCTTACCCGTTAAAATTAATCTTTGCAACAGATCCGTCATTGTGGCTTGGCAAGAGGTCTTTCGCGTCCGATGCTCTCGAAATGACCTTACATTTTTATTCCGAGCTTCTAACGCTTCTTCCGAGTAAAGACCCATCGGAAGCTCCATCGACTCTATTACATCAGCACCATGAATTAGTATAAAGTGCACTGATGATGGCATGTAGTACCAAGGATACTTTTTCTCAAATAAACGGGCTGTCTCCAGTGCGAATATTCTGAACTTCTCGGTATCAATTTCGCGACCACAGGCTAGAGTAGTTAAAATCACCGAGAATCGCTCCATAACTTCTCTGTCGAACCCAGTGATATCTGCCACAATGGAAATATTATCAAAAAATTTGCGAGCCGTATTGCCATCATTGGTAGTTCCGCTTCCTTGCTTGACAACATCGACGAGCAATCCCAGTTCTTCCTTTAATCGTTTCTGGATCATCTCTTTCCTTTCTTTATACAATTGCTGGTTTACGCTCCATTTTTTAAGCTCCATTTTGTAGGAAACATGCAACTCTAGCTCCAGAAAGCGAATCCGTGCATGAAGAACTGCAATTCCGTATTTAAATGTTGAAGCGTTTACTGGTCGCAATAACACTTGATCCACAGCCATTGCGGATGGAGTTGATCCACAGGCATAGCAGGTAGCCATCGATGACGTATCCGACAGGATGGTTCGAGCTTTTCCGTCAATCATGGTCATACTGAGACGATGATATATTTTCAACTCATTTCCATTTTTCAGTTGTACCATGGATGGCTGCAGTGACGCAATTTGGTCAGATACATACTGTTCTTCACGCTTCAAGGTTATTTTATTTTCTTTTATGAATTGTATGCGGATAGGCTTGCAAAACCTTGTTGACGAGGGCGCAGGATTTGTCCAAATGGTGATTGGAGGACCGGATTCATTGATAGTTCTCAACTGTAGTGGCACTATAGCTGTCAACAGTACAGAGCTATCATCTGAAGACTCAGAGGAAATCGACTGTTTATACTGTGAGTGCCCACTACTGCCATCACAGCCCCACTTATGCAGCAACTCCAATCTCATCTCAATTGAATTTTCCAACAATCCTTCACTTTCCAAGTGTTCCGCGATCCTTTTAGCGTCCAAGTCTACCAAATCCTGGAGCTTAACTTCTGCACTTGTTTCAGATACTGTGATAGCTTCTGCTGGGGGGTACGCTTTTTTCTTGGCCTCTAGTACCACATTATATGCAGGGAAAAAGTCAGCATGGTGCGCTTTTCCAACAGACCTAAGCAAATTATATTGATTTTTACTTAGATCACCTTCAATGATCAATGAAACACCTTCCTCAGGAGTCAGTTTGACAGGCAATGAATGCATCTCTGTATTCTTGTACGCATCAAGAAAATCACTGGCTTTTTGAGGATTTTCAGCAAAAAATGGAAGCAGCTTTGCTGCAGACTCATTCCCAACGGTTCTGAACTGCATGGCAGCTGCATGCAGCAACTCTGCACCACTATGCTGCTCTCTGAGTGTCTCTGTTTTCCGCCGCTTACTGCGAGCTGACGAATTCTCGAAGGCCACAGATGGCCGACCTTTTTTCGCCTCCTTTTCCTTCATTTCCACAGAAGTATCCTCGATATAAAACAAAACATCCTCATCAAGCCACTTACTATACTTAGCTTCAAAAGCAGAAAATTTTCTGTGACATTTGTCCCAACGCCCATAAAGCTTGTCTATTTCAGATATATTGAATGGGTCTTAAGCTATTGGTAGTTAGTATTAATAATCAAAACATACCACAAAATGATGAAATTATGCTTCGAACATGTTGAATGATGAGATCCGTTGGATTTGTTGCATTCAATGAACAAACGCAATTCAACACATAAGAAGTGACATGGTTTTTCTGCTCATCTCTACTAAAAGCTGATTTCTCACGGATAATTTCTAGCAGCTTCCGTCGCGTTGAAGAAAATGGCTTCATTCTATGAAAAACGTAATTAATTCACTATTCAAATGATGATAAGAAGGGATAAACAAACCTGCTAAATTTCGGCTTCAAGCACACGATTTGGATACTGGAATTTTAATCTCTCGAAAAACACGTGCGGACTCACAACCATGTGATTTCGAAAGACCGAAGGGTACACACAAAAGCAACGCATGATTTGTACGTTGCACCAAAAACGTTATGCAGATTTCGTGGAGAATGGTAGTAAATCATAATTAAGTGGCAAAAAATTATAATTTTTTCGGAAAAATCAATAATAACTGACCTATTATGCAATTTAGTATCCTATAATGTTCAGAAATTTTGTGTGTTTTGATGTTTTGAAAAATTTTGTAGAACATTTTAAGCCTGTAGCAGTTGAATGAAAATTGTTATAGAGCAAAAACTTAAATTAAGGGGGTTTCTATAAAAAAACGTTCCATATTTCAATAGGGTAAAGAAATGGACACCTAGTGCCTTCAGCAAAGTTTCTTGTTATGATATTTTCTAAAACTTTGCCCAAGACACCGATCCAAAATATGAAACTTTGACAAAAATAAATTTTCGATCTCACTTCTAGGGGGATTAATCATTGATCTGTCAATGTCATAAGAAGGAACTTTTCATATCCAGAAACTTTCCTGAAGACACCACATGTCTAAAATGCATCGTTCGTGAGATAATCACTTTTGACCGGGTTTTTACAGATCTGGACCACTGTGCGACTGTGAGAAGCAACATCAATATCATCAAATTCTATCAAGCCTATCATTGCGTAAAAAGGACTACATGGTGTGATGTTCTATCAACGTCCTCCCGCTGTTTAAATGGTTGACGGAGTGTCTAATCTAATCTAATCTTATCTAACACCAACACAGCCAGTTCTTGAAAGCATCCTGGAAAATGATATATATATATAATTTTTCTTGTCTATTTGAAATATTTTTCACATACTGTGCAGCATTTAAGGGGCAAGATGATTCAGAAAACATCGGGCCTGTTTAAATCGAAGATTTAAACACGATGCTTCAGAATCCAATAAATGGATGAAACGTGGACATCTCGTACCGTACGATCCGATTTTGGTAATTATATGATTGGTTGGTCGTTGGAAGCATCAAATCTAGAAAGGTTAAGTGATGCTCCATTTTCTTCTGACGGTTGGGGCATGAGCACTAACTCTTGTCCTAGCCTTTTATGACTTAGTGCTATAGCGCCATAACTCGCTTTCTGAAAAGAGAAGAGGGAAAGCAAAAGGAGAAGGACAAAGGGAAAAGGATTATGTGAAATAGGTATATGAACATAAACAATATTTTTGATTTGAAATATACAATATAGAAATGCAGTATGGTCACCGAGACTTGTCACTATTATCATGTCATTAAAAGTAACAAGGACTATCATGTGATCCTTTGATTTCTCGAAAATCCTGATTCCCTAGTTTGAAGTTGTCACAACTATGGTTCGGTGGTAGATCTTATACCAGTAACGCACCACAAAAAGGTGAACTCCCAACGTTACTGGTTTGAAAAGATAAAAATTTACAAAATGGAACGAACTCACCAAGTTTAGCCAATTGAACATGAAGGCTGCTTGACATGTGTTGATGTAGAAGTCGAAATTGTAGATGAAGCTTGACGAAGATCAACATGAACTAGTCCGGTTTATGGTAGTTGCGCGGAATGTCTTCCTTCGATTTGAGATAAACAAATTTTCGGATGTATGTAGTCGATTATTGATGTGCATTGGCAAGCCTTTTCGTGGCCAATAGTCAGGTTCAACGCTGTGACTCAACGAATGATGGAACTAATGATGGGATGAATGATCGAACGCCTCATGGAGGTTCTACTTGTCTTCGGAACAGCTTCTCAGCGGGAAATAACAGGGACGTAGAACTAAATAGAATGAGATGCAGCTCTCGCAGGGCTTCTTCTGTCTTAGTGAACTCACTGAGGAACTAGAATTGTCTCCTGGGCCTGGTTATGGCCAGATCAGCAACCGATTATAGATACAAAAAACTCCACAGAAAAAAACAAACGTCAGGTTCGAACAAACGCACAGCCTACTCCAAGTTTTATTAGCTACCCTTTATTGAACTAAAGTGCCACGTCACCTTTTTCACATTGTTTTTTGCAGTCCCAATTCTAAAATGTATACCCAAACTGACTACCCTCGGTTTCCAAATTCCCCTTAGACCACAATTATCGCTATCTTAATGACTTTTCAGTTTCCAAAGCATTTTCAACGTCACCCGACTTGATTGATTCTAGCTATACGGGACAATTCAAATTCAACGACAATCGTTTTATATTGATGGAGAGGCTATTACCAAATTGATGATTTATATACCCTGCTGAGCCAGCGATTCGCTGAACACATATCGTAATACTAAATGGCACCGGTAGCAAGTTCTGAATTTTACCGTGTAGCGCAAATTTCCGTTCCGAATTGCAGGTCAATCACATTTCGATGAATGTTATTGACTGTACTGAAATTGATGTTTAATGTTTCGATTGTTTCTTTTACTTGCAGCACAAAACTAGCAGACAACCAAATAGAAGACGATGACTACAATCCGTTCGATCATCGAGAAATTGATAAACCAAATAGGTATGGAATCCACTTTGGTACAGTTTGACGTAATGGTTGTTAATGGAAAAAAAAACTACCTTCAATTACAGCACAAGCGGCTCTCTTATCCACTTACTCAAAAGTTCCTTGGGTACCGGCATTCTGGCTATGCCGGTAGCCTTCAAAAACGCAGGTCTCCTCTTCGGTGCCATCGGTACGGTGATAATAGGTCTAATCTGTACGCACTGCGTGCATATTCTGGTGAGTAATGCCGAAAAGTAAAACAATAAAAATCATATGAAATCGTTCCCATATCGGTTATGGTCCTATCAGCTTCATTGATTTCACTCTCATTCTCGAGACAATCAAGTTGGCCTTTCGAAATTATTGACTCAACGCTTGCGTTATTGACAGTCGAGCTTCCCCCCACACAATGACACCTACCTCTGCTGCTTAGCACATCTAATCAATAACGAGGAATAAAGGTTATACACACTAGCTACTGATAAGCTTGACCAAGTTCGTCATCTACACTACCACACGGCTCTTTTAAATTCCCCGTGTCCCGATAGGCATGTTTCCCATCTAATCGGGATTGATCCCTGCTTAAGGTGTAAACGGGTTGAATATTTATGGTCCATCAATCGTATATGGTGGCTTTGAGGCTCGTTCACCTCGAATAAATCCACAATAAAGTATCAAAAAGCAATTGAACTACTGTATCTCTCCACCCCAGACCCTCCCCCTCTCTCTTTGCAGTCAACTGTAAAGCGATTGTTCCTCTTCATTCTCGTAAACTGTTATCTTGACGAGCGATAAACAGGTGACGTGTGATTCATGATGCAATACATCTTGAACGACGCGTAGACCGCTCTCTGATAGGCAATCAATGGATTTTACCAAAATAAACCGTCTGATGTTTTCGGAAAAATCCTATAGTAAATTAATGTTTTGAGCAAATCAGAGCTGAGACCGACATACAGACCACAGTTTTGAATATTGCCAATTCAGGGAAAAAAATAGCCTTTGGCGTCAGATTATCAGCTTTAATGGCATGCTGTGGCTGCCAGTTACGTCGAATTATTTTCTCTGAAACGGCAATACCTCAATCTGCATTTTCAGCACACCAAACACTCTTAGTGACATGCATGCAATCCATTCTCAGACGGCTTTGAAAAGATATTTCAATGTCGTCACATGAGGAAGCAGTTCAGCGACTGTAGCTTCAGTTCGACTATGATTTGCGACTCATTTAAGCTCACTGAGCCATTGTCCATTAGATCAAAGGAAAACCTTGAATCCTTCCGTGACCTGGCTGAGTGGATAGTCAGAATCTCTCGTCAACCATCGCACGCACTAATAGGTATGTTATCCAGTTCAGCACGTGTCCATTACGCCTTTCCGCCTGAACCGACAACAAAACAAAAACTGTTTACAAGGCTCGAAAAATTCGCCAACTCCCGCATAACGTGCCCAACCCGGCGCGAATCGGCTGTTTATCCATTATTCAAACGTGACCCGCTTCGTTGATAGGTTATGCGCGTGACAGCATGTGTAGGATCAAAATTACGCTTACTCATAGAAACGGCAGCAAAATGTCATATCTACATTTTACATTATTCGATTGCTCGTCTTTTATCGAGCCATTTCTAGATAGAGCTGGAATTAGGGCGAAACAGCTTTTGTAAACAATGCCTTCTTTCGATGAGGTTAAGGCTCTCCAACGCAAATCAACAACACATTTAAAGCACGGGAAAACTTCCCCTACCCGTAGGTTATGTTGGTTTGCGTGGCCGAGTCTTAACTTTCTAGAAATCTTCGAAAGAAGTCATTGATTACAAAACCTGTTACGCCCAAATTCCAGCTCTATCTAGATTTATACTCGTGTTTTGTCTAGTGTGCTGTGCTAATGTAGTAGCACACACACACACAACGAGACCTACCCCCTACGACGAAGATATTAACTTGTTACTGGATTCATACCGTTTTATCTATATAATGTAACGCATGACAAGGGCCTGTTGATTCCGACAAGTGTTCTATTGATTAGATAAATTATCTTGACAAGCAGCCAAAGCTTTCAGAAGGAATTTCTTTCCGACTACCCTACTGATATTATGAGCTTTCACTGTTGGAATTTCCACGCTCGTATTAGACAGCATGTCACATTGTCACAGTATAGACACGATCTGTTACGATAAGATTTACAACTTGCACATTTTTTTGGCAAACCCAGTAATATGTATGAAGTTACGTGTTAAGAACGCAAAATGTGCGGAGGACTGCGGATCTGATTCCGGATCCGGTTTAGGATCTTTACAAGTTTTCTCAAACAATGTTTAGCTTGAAATGCGCTCACAATAAGGACTGTACCCGCATAAACGCGAACCATAAATTGATCTTACCTAAAATGGTTAAAAATTGTTTATAATCCCTGCTAAACTTTAACTGAAATGGTTATGGAACTTTACATGAACGTTTAATGATAAAGTTTCAACCTTATGTATTATGGTTTTTTGGAACTGGACCTTACAAATAATGGGTTGTTAAGAACCATTACCATTCCAAATTCTTGTTTTCTCCATACATTTTCAGAACGAGAACTATATAAGAACGTTTTTACTTATGATTTGAGAACATTGATGGTAATGGTTATGGTAGTCAGTAAGGTCCATTAATGGTTTTGTATTATCGCTCAACTTTACGTGGAATATATCGTGAATTGGTAATCAGTAAATTACAGGCAACCAATTCGCGATATATTCCACATAAAGTTGATCGATGTTACAAAACCATTCGTGGACCTTACTGACTACCATAACCATTACCATTAAAGTTCTCAAACCATAAATTAAAAGGTTCTAATATAGTTCTCTTTCCGAAAATGTATGGAGAAAACAAGAATTTGGAACGGTAATGGTTCTTAACAACCCATTATTTGTAAGGTCCAGTTCCAAAAAACCATAATATATAAGGTTGAAACTTTATCATTAAACGTTCATGTAAAGTTCCATAACCATTTCAGTTAAAGTTTAGCAGGGATTATAAACAATTTTTAACCATTTTAGGTAAGGTCAATTTATGGTTCGCGTTTATGCGGGTATCGAAAAGTAACGTTAAACTTTAAAAAATTAAACAATGTCAATAATTTCGTCAAATATTAAGACTAGAGTCGGTGTATAATGAGTCACGCCAAGAGTGAAGCCAAGTCTACCTATTGAACTGTCAAATCGGCTACCTATCGTGCAAAGTAAATAAACATTACGATGCTATGAAAGGTCTACGAAAGGTATTGCAATGAAATATAAAATAAAATTGAAGAAATCATCATAAACACGCAGCGAGCATTAAATGGTCATGGGATACGTTTGGTTTTGATCAGTAATGAGAATTTCTACTATTTTTTGATAAGATAATTTGACAAAATCACTGATATTATGATTCACTACAACCGTTATTTTTGGTTCTCGCTAGAAGTCATTTAAAGTTGATGTAGAAGTCCTTTGTTGCCAAGTGAAAAGAAAGGGAATCCTTCGGAAACCGTGATGCGAGTTCAACTGTTTTTCTCTTGGCGTGACTCATTATACACCGACTCTAATTAAGACTCGCTTTTAGATTATACAAATATTATATATTGATACGTGTGGGGTTCGTTTATAGGACGCCAATATACAATCAATGTTCATTTTGGCCTTTTTTAGGCAAACATATTGATATGCACAATTTTCGACGGAAAACGCAACGGAACTTGATTTACTCAACACGCACCATGCTATAAAATGGTACTAGATGATTTTCAAAGGGATAACAAAATGACAAATCATCTTTATTTTGAGTAATTGAGCAATTTACTTCTGTTTACATCATATTTACGATGCATGTGAAATTAAATGAATATATCTTATGAAAGTTCATCTGGAAAAGTCAAAGATGCACATCAGTCTGATCGTGAAAACGTTTTCTTCTTCAATTCGAATGTTATATTGGAAGGATTTTACGTAGGCTTGATGAAAATTATGATTTAATGCTAATTTTCACGAATTTTATATTTTATACTTATATTTATGTCAACATTATCATCATCATGCAGTGGTGACATCTGCGTTGAGTTTTTGCGGCAATCTCCCAATTGTTTACCCCCGAATGTATACGCAAATATGTTATTAAGGTGATCCAAGAGACGTTTCTCAGTGGAACTGACAGCTAGCAATCAAGAGTGTGTGAGTGATCTGGTGTTAATGGTGCTGAATGTAAACATGAACAAAGCAGAAATTCATATGAGAGTGAACTGTCAGTTCTACTGTGATCTGTCAAAAGTTCTTGGTAAACAAAAAAGTCAGCTGATCGCAACTGTCTCGTGGACAGCCTTATATGAGAATCGTGCTACTCGTCGCAATACATTTCAGTGAAGCTAGATGGGGCATAGTCCTCTCCAGGCGGGTTCGTATTGGTGCGATTTGCGTGTGTTAGTGAGATGAATTTTTTTGTTTGCTGTAAGAACTGTCATTCTAAAGTAAAAATAAACAACAAAACGAAAACAAATCCTACACTGCACGGTAACAGTCAAATACCCTTTTATGAGTAAAAGTTAACCCATTAGTGTAGTGTTCGTGAGATCCTGCTTGGAGAACTCAATATAGTCAAACTGACTACACGGTAACCGCAAAATACCCAATAATGACTACACAGCAAGCATTTGCGAGGGATACTGGGACTATCCATTAAATGAGTAAACATATTACCCATTTATGAGCATTTGTTACTAAAAAAATGAATACTTACTACTTATTTTTGTAGTTGTAATTACTCATAAATGGGTTAAATTTTACTCATTTAATGGGTAGTCCCAGTTTTCCTCGAAAATGCTTACTTTGTAGACATTATTGGGTATTTTGCGGTTACCGTGTAGCCGTAACTTGATACCGATATACAGATAAGGTTTCTCAGAATACCGATTTTTGAGTTACAATACCGATTTATACCGATATTTTTTAAATAATCAAAAGGATTACTGCCACACTGAACTGTCAGAGGAAACTATTCTGAGAGTATTTTATCTTTTCGCAAATTACAATTTTTGAGCCTGCTCTAAAAAAAAATTCATCTTCAAAAATGTCTTATGCTTGATACTTTTTCGACTGGAAGAATTATTTCCCCGCCGTTTTTGGTTACTAAGGAGTCGAGAAACAGCTGATGGCTCAATTCCAGTAATTTCTGGAAATCGGGAAATACTTTTATTCAGTGCAAACATAGGTCCATAA